GAGAGAGAGAGAGATCAGAGGTTCACGAAACGTCTACACGGCCGAGTGCATCTCTGGAGATGGTATCTATGCTGATCGGGTATCTCGACCAGAATTCTGTATCTGCCGGTGCTTCGTGTCAAAACGAACGCCCTTTTAAAGGTGCTGTTCACCTTTACCGTTAAAGGGCATTGCACGGTTCCTCGAAAAGCAGGGAAGAACGTTAGAACGTGAGAAGCACTCTCGACAGGATGCACGAGGAACTGTGTTGTAATCTTTCTAAAAATCTTATATTCTAAAAAAAAACCGCGATATATATATATATGTAAAACGCGCATTTCTTTTAGACAGAATTTATCGAGTTATTAAAACGGACATGCACGGAGTTGTTTATGCCGCAACAAATGATCGTTAATGCTTTTGAGAAATTATTACGAACTTTCCAGTGTATTCCATATTTATATTATTTTCTAAATCGAAATGAATGGTTGACTAACAAATGTTTGCATTTAGTCCGATAAAATATTAATAATTTTTCAAACGTAAGCAAAGATAAGATTTCGCCCGATTTTGCAAAGAACGGACGAAAGAGGGAATTGTAGGTATTGTGATGGTGGAGCAAGATTGAGCTGAGCCAGAGAGATTAAAAGTTTCGTCCAATCGATTCTTCTAAAGGCAGAATTTACAGTTTGGTAATGTATTACGTTAGTTACGTAGCTCAAAGTTGTGTAATAAGCTGGTTTGGAGAAGATGAAATTTGATACGTCTAGGAGATTCTAAGATGGGCAAATGGATGAAAGTTTTTGACGTGAAATTTAGATTCGAAAATATGGTAATACTCGTATATCGTATATTATATATTGAAAATTTTTAATCATTGTTCAGTCCCATTATTTTCTTGTTGAGAATTATATGGTATGTAATACTGATTATATGATATGTATATATATATATACATATATAAAATACTATGTATAACCTATACAAAATTTGTATTTTTACTTTTTTTACTTTCCATATTATAGCAAGCATATAACTTAGAATATTGTAAGAAAGTAACAAGGAAGAAACATTTTTACAATATTTCCTGGCCATTTACAACTCGTTAATTTTCTAAAAACAGATGTTAAATTGTTTCCGCTATTTTGTAAAATACCATATAAACTACCGAAACGAAAGAGATAGAAATAAAAATTACTCGTACGTTCAAATGAATTAAAGGAAGAAGACAAGAATTTAAGTATCATTATATAAGTGGAAATCAGATCTTTCTTAGATATTACTTTTACTTACAATAATCGATAAAAATAATTTATTATTTTAGTTAAAACTTTTACCAGATATAGCGAATCGTTAAATGAGAAAACAAGATTTTGAAATAACGAACTATTAATTATACGTATATTGTTTAACATTTATTTTTAAATTTAGTAAGTAAAATTCATTCTTTAACAAATCTTTAATCCTTAATAAAATCACACAGAAAATATATATATATATATATCTCAAATGTTGAGATAATTCATTCCCTTCTTCTAACAGAGTTAAAGATCTTGAAAAATTCCAGTTTCTGACTATAAAGATACCAGTTTACGGATATCCGCATACGAGGATCTCGAACAGACATCATCAACAAGTTTAGTTCACTGTAAACCGATCCTGATGCTGACTTTCGATTCTTTTCGAGTTAAGTAACACAATTCGATGAAAGCGCGATCTTACAGCAACGAATACAACCTTTCAAAGGTCAAACGACAAAGAAAGTTTGAAATTCGATAGCACGAAAATATTGCAGTTGGAAATATTCACATTTTTTTTTCACACTGTTTACGCTCATTGTTGCCTTCCGCCACAGCTCTTAGAATTCTTTTTGTTATTTAAACTTAGTGCATCGCACGAACTTGTCGCGACTATTGTCGAGGGCTACGCACTTAAAGATTTAAAGATGGAGGTTGTCACAGATAATAATAATAAATCCTGAACGGATTGGGAAATATTCGAGCATGATTTCATTCCCATTGTAACGTCGAACGTTACGAAAGCCCACGCACGAGAGTTTATTGCCTACTCGAATCACGGAACTATTACGGATCTGATTCTCTCTATCGAACTTGGATGGGGAATTCCAACGGATAGAAACGCGGGGAGTATGGTGAGTATGTGCAGTTGAGAAGGCATTTATGGCATGCAGATGGATTAAAAAATTTTTGTTTGGTAAATCTATCATTGGCACTGCTATATTATCAGGAGAAACAGGTTGCATTTGGTAAGCGGATTGAAATTCAATCCTTAGAAAGAAAAATGTGGATATAAGTATCCTTAAGACACATAGATGAAAATAACAAATGGAGAGTTGTAACTAGAGACTAACTAAGCGGAATAATGAATAAAACAAAAACTCAGCAACGTGATGTATAGATGGTAGTAATAAATAATAAGAAATGAATAGAGAGTTGACGTGTAACAAATAGTAAATAATCTATACAAATAGTAAAATCTGTAGTAATAAATAATAAAGTAATAAATAAACTAGCAAGTAGACAACGAGCAATGAATAAACAATAGCAAATAATAGATAGTGAAGGATTAAAAAATAAAAAAAGACCAATAAACAAATAACAATGAAAAATAGCAATTAAAAACAGATAAAAATGTAAGATATTTTAATTATGGCGAGCAATATTCTCTGCATCCTTTTTTCCTTTCTTTTTTTCTTTAGATAATCATCGTGGATAGAAAGGAGTAAAAAAAGCAAGACGAGTGCCGATCTAAGAGATTTTGCTCTTGTCTGGGGAAGTTAGGTAACAGTACGAAGCCGCTTTTGAGGTGATTCGAAGTCGATGGTCAGTGCTGCCGCGGTGCTCGAGCCAACACCATCGCTTTTCGCGCATGCCTCGATCGCAGGATGTCAAACGGCCGTGACAAAAGAACACGGTGAATTTTAGTGAATATCTGTGATGTGCGATTAATGGAAAGTTCTTTTTTTTTTTTTGCCCGCCTTCACCATGAAAAATTCATCGTAAGTCATCACATTTCATTTTTTGCATTGTTAGAAAAGAAAATTAAATGAAATACAAAGAGCAAGAGTAAAAATTATCTCTTCTATCAATCTTACTTGATTCTCAAAAAATAATATTACGAATTTTTACTTACGAAGTTTAAATTTTACTAGATACTTAAACGTATAATAATATAAAACATGTAAGTCAAATAAGGGAAATATAAGAATTGAAAATTCTGAATGAAATTTACGAGATCCCGATATCTAAGAATTCTACAACATGTTTAGAATAATACGAATGGCAAGCAAGAAAAATGTAACGAAACAATTAAAAAAACGAGTATACCGCGAGAGATACTGGCTGGTGGTTGTTAAGAAACGTAATTATTTCTTCCTGTAACTTTATGAAAGGCAATGCTCGTTACTTTCTCGGAAGAATGTATCGTTGAATTTCGATTTCTATAAATTATTTTATATTTACAAAAATACTTTCCTACGCGAGTTAAAAATATATATTTGTCGAGATTAATATCATTTGACGAGATAGAGATAATTGTAAACAACATTTATTGTTCATTTTGTTTGAAATTAATCGAAAAATTTCGAATCTATAAAGATTTTGCTGGGATTCGCTCGTTACTTTTTCTTTTTTTAATGAATAAAGAGCTTGTTTACGATGAGGGTTGCACAACAACAATGGCTATCCTCGAAAGGTCAATTCAATTCTACACACAAATGTCACGGTTTGATCTTTGCAAAGTGATCCATTGGCGAGATTAAAGATCAATTCAATTTCAATGGTTGCGTCTTCTTACATAATCTTGCTACCAGAACGGTTTAAGTAGGGCACAACGAGATGCCTCTTAGATGGTTAATTTAGAAAACAACGAAAGGAGCAAGGAGTTAATAATGGAATTCATTGAATAGAATTTCAATATAATTATATGTATATAGATATATTTTTCACTTTTTCAAAATGGATGAAAATAATAATTAAAGTAAGTTTTAATCTCTTTACAAAATAAAAAAAAATGATAAGAAATTTTGAACAAAAAGTAATTCTTTTATTAAATTTAAGAGAAAATTGAAAAATTGAAACTGAATTGCAAATGTGTTATTACATATTCACGAAAGCATACACGAGCGTATTAATGATTGTTAATTAAAATATAACGCATAGATAAGGATACAACACAGAAATGGATCGTCACATATTAACACATTTTTTTTTTTTTTTTTAAATATTCATAACCACTAAATTAAGATTTCTTACATGTCTAATAATTATTAAAATTTAAAAAATGGAGAAATATATTTTCTTATGCCTTATAGACACGATATTTAAGATAATTAAGGTTAAGAAATCGCGTTTCTAGACATTAAATGAATTAAAATTTATTGAATATAAGGCAAATTTTTCAAATTTACTCTTCCACGAAGATAAAATATTATTCGATATTAATGTATCATATTTTTCTAATATGATTTTAACTTATTTTTATTGCAAAACATTTCGAGCCAAAATTACCTTCCCTCGATAACTCGTCAAAAAATGATAAAACTTTCTTTAAGATATTATATCTATACACTCAAAACGATATAAGATATATTTTAATCTCTCTTCATTCAAGTTCAAATTCAACGATGATTTTCTCAAAATGGAAATTTCATCACTCTTAAATTTTAAAATGTTCAACGAGTTCATGTTAAAAATTATTTTAAATGAAGCTGTAGCTAATCGTTACATTTCAACTGCGCGAATAAGGAGAAAGTCAGTTGGCAATGAAAGTCCAAAGTTAACAATTATGTCGATTCTTTTTTCGAAAAAATATATATATACACACATATCCTAGAAAATCCAGTCGAGAAGAACGAGATAGAATGTATATTCCGAAATGCGACTTGTTGTACCGGCGATGATTTTTTATCGCGCGCCATTATTACATAAACGAGGAATAAAAAACTGGAAGGTGGACCAAAACGAGCGAAAAAGTGTAATGAAAGAGTGCATCGAAAAATGGACCAATGAGAAATGAGAAGAGATAACGTTACGAAACAACGGTTAAAAATGATTATTAATCAAATTAGACACTAATAAAATAAACTTTCCCTAATATTTTTCTATAAAATTTCAGAATTTTTATTTGAAAATTTTGACATTGTAATATAAAAAAAATTAAGAAAAAGCGTGCATCGAAAAATGGACCAATGAGAGATGAGAATTAAAAAAAAAATGGGTGCTAATGATTATTAATCAAATTAGACGCTAATAAAATAAATTGTAATAATCTCGTAATATTTTTTTGTAAAATTTCAGAATTTTTATTTGAAAATTTTGACATTGTAATATAAAAAAAATTAAGAAAACAATTTTTTCGAATCTTCTTCGAACGAACACGGAATACCTCTTTTGTAATATTTGAGCAATTTCCGGTAAGAGATAAAAAAAAAAAAAATTTGAAAAAAATTGACACGATTATTTCCACGGAAGATGATTAGAAGTTGAAATTGAGCGAGAGAATAATTTCATCTGATTTATTGATCAGATAATAATAATATATGTTAATGAAGAAACAAGTGACAGAAGAATCATACCTATAAAATCTGTCATCGTTGCGATCCAAATAGCTGGGGTAACCTTTTAAGGAAGTCATTGTAATTGTTTCTTCTCTGTAATAAATGCTACCAATAATTTCCTAACATATCTATCACCACTTTTAGACAATATCAAATTACGTAGAATGGAAGGGATGAGCCGAACACCCACACTAATAATTTTATACAAAATATCGCCGTCATTATTGTAAACTGTGTTGCTATAGTTACGCATTTTCCGATGTTCAACTATCGTAATATTTGAATATATTAGTTAGTTCAACCATATATTTCGAAAAATTTGTAAATGTATAACATTATCTCTCAAAAAAGATATAAATTCTATTGTATTTTGAATTCATCATTGAATTCAATTGGATTCACATATCCTTTGATCTGAACGGGAGATAATAAGAAACGAAAGAAACTCGGATAACGCGAAAGTGATTTAAAAACGCAAATTATAAATTCCGGTTTTACGTAATCACGTTTAAATTCCCTCGATTGATAATCATAAATGAATATAGTAATTTATCACTAAAATAAAATGAAAGTTCCGACTTGATACTTCTCTATTTCTCGAGACAAGTGTAATTAATCAAAAAATAAATTGACTCTCCATGAATGACTACGTGGATCAATGTTACGTTTAATAAATAATACTCTTACTTTTCATTTATGAGAGATCATTATTACGGAACGGCTTATTTATCATAAAAAATGATAAAATCTTAAATCGAGGTCCTTTTTATCCATTAATTTTATTCATATATTTTTTTTTCTTTGAACGCGCGAATTTCTATTTGGATAAATCTGGAAATTTTATTCGATTTAGCGCGGTAACTCGCAACCTCTAAAGAATTCAATACAATTTAATTTACAATAAATTTCTTCAATCATGAAGAGAAAAAATTATTTTCTTTATACTGTTATAAAAAGAAATAACGTTTCGAAAAAACTGGTCTAACATAAAATTATAAGATATAAATATATTTCATATCTATATTTGTGTATGAAGAAAATATATAAGAATGCGTAAATAGAATCCACCTCAAACGCTCTCACTTTTTATTTGCGAGAAGTAGTCATACCAGTTTGACAATAAGAAGTAATAATTATACAGGAAAAAGGAAGCGACATTCCGTAACACGCACTAGTTCTCGTTAACGAGCTTGTTCAAATTAGAACATAAATGAGAAATAATCCAATTTTTATTTAATTTATATTTCGAAATTGTTATGTATTTCATAAAAAGTTTTTAACGAATGATTCGCATGAAACGAAAATCAAGAATAAAATATTTTTTGTATTTATTTTTAAATTCTATGTGATGAAGATACACGATTAAATTGGAATTCGCAAAATTTCTACTTCTACCATTACAATTTATGATCCCGCGGTTTCTATAATTCTAATACGATGAATTTTATTAAATATAATCACTATGATACAACGGTTATATGGCCTTTTATTAAACCATAAATGTTACAGACCTAACCTTGAAATATTCATATTCAATAAACGAAGAAATATAATTAATAAATAGTAAATGATTAACTAAACTCGTTCTGCTATTGCAATGGAAAGTCATAGAAGAAAGCTTGTTTGAAAACAACTGTTAGGATCTATAACTGTCAAAGTTTCATACATCTTTCCTAACAACTTCCTCGATTTTGGAAGAAAATGAGTGATCAAATGCCTTCTAAAAACTAAAATCTTCGGCGAATTCATCAAGTTATGTTGGAATTTTTTCGATATTTAAAAATAAAAAATGCAAAAGTGTTTTAGAGCTTAAAAAAAACATATAAAAATCAAAGAAAACAATTTATATAAAAATAGGAAATTTTAAAGTAAATCTTAAAAAATGATCAAATATATTAACATTAAGAAAATGTTGACAAAACATTATTTAAAATAAATCATAAAAATTTAGATAATAATAGAAAATTATCAGAAAATAAAAGAAAATTTTTCATATAATTAAAATAGTTATTTAAAAGTTCATTTATCGTACATTTAAATGAAGCAACTTCATTATTTTTAAAATAGTATTCAGAGCAATTTGGTCTATCCATAAGTGGATAAAGTCGAAAGAGAAAAAAGAGGAAAGTGTTTTTTGCTTTAACTTGCAATACTTGTGCGTCACATGTACAAGATAGTATTCCTATTCTACATGCATGTCGTCATCTCGAGCCCTGCCACCAGGGACAATGCCATTGCCATAGTGAAACAGTGAAAGTATGGTCATTTTATTTCTGTCGTACTTTTGCTCTTTTCTACCGATACCCTCGATCTTGACATATGTAGACAAAATTACGCGACAACATTTTCTATCACAATCATTTCTCGGTTTCGGATCAAACTTGATCAAACTGAAACCAGAAACTAGTGATATAATTTTTTTATATTTTTAACGGCATTACATTTTCAAATATTTGTTATTAAATTGATATTAATCGATATAAATAATAATGTATATACATGTATTAAGTATATAATTTTATCTAGCGATAGATTCTTTATAGAAATCTATATGAACATACGTTACAAACTTTAAATTATCTTGAAATATTGTCAAATTTAGATAACTTATTAATTTACTGTTAAATTATATACTTGTATGTTTTATTTTTCGATTTCTGTATTATTTACACTTATTTTTATATAATTGTGAATATATAGTTTTTCAAGAATTTATAGAGTTATACATATATATAAATAGAAAAAAATTGATAATAATTTTGAATAAAATTGTGTGATATATTTTTATTTTTAATTAATATGATGGATTATTTTAATAAAAAATTGAAGGTTGATATACTATATTAAAAGTTGTATAGTCAATAATATAGTGTGTAAAAATGAATATGTCTATTATTGGATTATAATGGAATGGGCTAATTATAGAATTCTATTGAAAATATCTGAAAATATAATTTGTTAATTATAACTTACTTCAACTTAATTGCATTAAACACTTTATATATTAATATGATACAAAGTTTATTTTTGTTTTGATATCATTTCATTGAATCATTTCATTCAATTTCAACTAAATATAAATTTATTAAACATGTTTTAGTGCATTACGAGATCTATTGTTAATTATTTGGTTCACATTAATGGTTCGTGTAAAATCTGCGATAATGCCTCCTCCGTGGGCAGATCCGTCAAGCAATCCTTGTGCCGCTCAACCACGTGGTTGGCAATTGTTATTTTGGCCGCCGGATGGAAAGTGTTACAAAATATTCCAGGCAGGTGCTGCATTTCTCTTTACAGAGTCATTGAAGTACTTTTAATAGAATTTACATTAGAGAATCAATTTTTTTCTTATACTTCTTTTTTTCTTTTTATTCCATTAACATAAACTATTGATTGTTTAATTATTATGTTTAATTATTAATTTGATTAACAGATTGGAGCACCATGTCCAGAGACAATGGAACTGAGTCCAGCAGCAGGTGGAGGTGGGACTATAGCTGAATGTAGATGCCCTCCAGGAACTGCACAATCTCCTAGAGATGCGCTATGTCATAAGATATATACAAGAGCATCTTGTCCAAAGGGACAGTTCTTTGCACCTGTACCAGAGACATCTGGGAGATCTAGGTATTACAAGATACATTTGAAAATAAAACTCTCAAATTGTTCTCAAAAATATTTCTTGAAAGTGAATATTGTACTGAGAGCGATTGTCCGACAGTCTTTCATTATTATGAAACAAATTACTATTGATCAATTACTCTTAACTTTTTTCTCACTTTTAATTTAATATTCTTGAAAGCAACTTTTGAAAATTTTATTATCAAATGTATTCGTAATCCTAATTTTCAAAAAATAGATATAACTAATATAACTAATTTAAAAATTGTGTATTTTCTAAAACTTTTGAAATAAAGAAAAAGTAGTTGTATAATTTGAAAAAATACAATATATGAAATTTTAATTTTTTATAATACTATATGTTTTTTAAATGGAATCTCATATTTTCATTATAGATATACTTATTATAGATTTAATTCTACAATAAAAGCATATGCTTTTTTTGAAATATTGCATAATTGATGTTGTGAAAATCTTTATAAATAAAAATTTAAAAAAAATTTTCTTAAATCGATTTTTAAATTAATAATTATTTTTATATATAATTATATAATTATTTTTAATAATGAAAAAAATAATTAATAAAGAAATAATAGAACTATTTTAATCCTGAATAAGGTGGGGTGTATGTCATGATCCAGAACCATGCAAAGAAAAAGGAGAAGTCTATTGGCCTAGAGACAATAAATGTTATCCCAAATTTAGCAAAGGACCATGTTCAAAAGGGGAACTTCTCACCGTAGATGAAGATGGACTAACATTATGTTCTTGTTCTACAAATGGAGAACTTGGACGATATCATTGGGCAGGTAATGGCGGTGGTTGTCACGAACATTACACTAAAGGACCATGTACAGAACCAGGAGAATTATTTTTACCGGGTGGTATATGTGGCTGTCACTCTAAATTACCTCACTATCATGAACCAACTGGAATGTGTTATCAGTTAGGTAAAATAATTCGAAAATACTTCTAAATGATAAAGAATATTTATTTTAATTTTGTAATATTTATTGTTACTTTATGTTATTGATAAAAATTATTTATTTCTTAACAGGTGATATTGGTCCATGTTTACAAGGTCATCACTTTATTGTAATAAATACAATAATCAATGGAGGAGAAATTCGTGCTAAGTGTGTATGCAAACCAGGTCATGTTCTTTATAAAAATGGATTTTGCTATAGACTTTATACAAAAGGACCATGTGAAAATGGCTATATGTTAATAAACTCAATGACTTGCATTCCTATACCTTGCACACGAGGACGATTATATTTTCCACAAGAAAAAACATGTTACAAAATAGGAACAAGAGGACCATGTCCGAGAGGACAAATTGTTTTGTACGATTATAATGTACGACCATCTGTTGATGGAATCAGTTATAATGGAGTATGTGGATGTATAAATGTACAAAAGAACTTGGAAAAATGTTTCGAAGAAACTAATGACAGTTGCGAATCCACACCGGGAATGGTAGAAATAAATAAAACTTGTTACAAATTATATACACAAGGACCTTGTACTGCAGGAGAATGGTTAGTTGCACAAAGAATGCCAAAACAGAGTTTATGGAAAAATGAAGAATTAGAATCAAGAGCTAGATGCGAATGCAGACCCGGATATAAGAGAATTACAGATACTTTTAAAACTTCTGAATTAGAAAGTAATAGTCTTCTTTCTTCTGGTGGTTGTCAACCACCTACTGTAAGTTTAGCAAAGTTTCTCAATGAAAAAGCGAAATCGATAAATTTTTAAATGAATAAGAATAAGAAACTTTTAACGAATAAGAACTGAAATGAGAGACTATGAATAATAGCATATGTCAGTGATAAAATGCATTTTCTTAAACTATTATATGTAAATACTATTGTATAAATATTGTTTATAAAATATTCTCATGAATCTCATGTGTATATCATAAGAATTCCTATTTATTTAATATTTTAGTGCTATGAAATTTTTGTTTTATATTTCAATTTTATATTAAATCATATAATATATTGCTATTAATATTATAAAATTTAAGAATTATTATATATAATATTATCTCAAATGTTTGATCAAGTATAATATTTAAATATCATTTTTCGTCAATATTTTGTAAATATATACAATGTATGACTTTCAGAATATTATGGTTACTGATAAAATTATCTTTAAAAATATATCAAATTTTATAAATATATATATATATATACTCACTCATTTTTGTGTTGTAGATCATGAATCTGTTGTTCATTTCCTATTATTTGTTGTCCTTTTAATGTTATTTCTTTTTCTAAAGCAGCTATTTTTTCTGTCTTTTCATCCAATACCATCTAATAAAAATTATTTGTTAATTTTAATAAATCTATCATTGAATATTTTATGATATAATTATATTACTTACCAACAATTGATCTTTTTCATGATCTAAATGTGTCATATTCACTTTATGATTATTAATTTCTTTTTCTAAATCTTTTATTTGATTTTCAAGTTGTAATTTTTGTCGCTCTATTGTTTTATTACGATCTAATATCTTATTTAACTCGGATTCCGATTGCGTTAATTGATTCTGAGCATCTCCCAATGTTTGATCCGTTTGATCTTGTAGAGCGCTAATAATTTAAATAAGTTACTATATTATAAAATATTTTATATATAAATAAATACATATAAAATATAATTAATATTAAAATTTCTATTACATTTCATAAAATTTTTATGAACCAAAAAAATAAATAGTACCGAAGTTGAAAATATTGTGTTCTTTGTGTTCCTAATTCTTGTTTGGTTCGTTGTAACTCTTCTCGTAAATCTTGTAATTGATCTTCAAGTCCTTTTATAGTTGCTCTTCGTGTTCCTTGCGTAAGTAAAAGTTCTTGTCGTTCCTTTTCTATCTGTTTCAGTCGAGTTTCAACATCAGTCAGATTTTCCCTTAAATGACGCTGTTCAGATGTATGTGCTTCCGTTGCTATCTAATTATCAATATACAATTTTCAATAAAATGAATCTAATGAAAATCTATAAATAATTTATAAAATATGAAAAACGCTAATATAAAATTAAAATTTAATAAAACTCTATTTCATTTTTGACTTCATTTTGAAACTATCAAGTTTATTGTTAATAATATTAATATTTTAAAAAATTTACTTTAACATTTTTGGTGATTTATAAAAATAATAATATATATGAAAATATTAAAAATAAAAATACCTTTAATCTTTCACGTAATGCATTACGTTCTTCAATTAAACGATCGATATCAGCTCGTGCAATATCTCGTTCATGTTCCAGACGTTCAATAATATTCTAAAAAATATAATTTTTATAACTATAATTAAATATTATTAAATATGTTTTATTATGAAATAATTTAATTCTTATTTTAAGTGCAAAAATATTTTTTAATTATAAAATAATATAAACAATAATTACAAAAAATTATTATATAATTATATTTACCTTCATTTTGCTATCTTTTATAACTAGAGAACAATTACATATAACACCACGTTTGCAAACATTGCAAAGTCGATGTGGTATTTTATGTTCACTTTTATAAGTATGTAAATGCGTTTCTAAATTAGTTTTTTCGCAATATTCTCTTTTCTCTTGTTGTAATTTATCCAATGCATTTTCTTTTTCATTTAAATGACATTTCAATTCTCGAATTCGTGAATCAACCTATTTTTAAAAGCAAAAATGAAATAAAAAACTTTTTTTTATTATCTATCAATATTAGGTAAAAGTTTTAAAGAAAACTGTATAAATTGTAAAAAAACAAATTATATTTTACGTGGTCTATTTCAATCGTTTTATCCTTTATATTCTTGTATTCGTTTTTATAAAAATCTCGTTCTCTTCTTAATTGTACAATCGCCTGTTGCAACTGATAAAATAAATTCAAAATAGTATATTTATTCAATTACGAAATATTATACATACATTTGTTTCAATATCTTTTCCATCTAATTGTTTCAATATATTATTATGTCCAACATGATTTACATCTTGAAAAATTTTTGTTCTTTATGTACCTCTTGAAAATCTATTCTATTTTGTCCTAATTTTATAAAAATATAAATAAATATATTTTATAATATATTATATTTTATATTTTATAATTTTACCTTTATTACAATTATTTTTTCTTCCTTTTTCTTTACTTTCATTTGTTCCATTGTTATCTAATAATATATCATTTGCACTCATTTGCTCTTTTAATAACTTATTACTATATTGTAATTGAATAATATCTTGTTTTTGTTTTTCATTTTCCTTAGCCAATCTTTCAATCTCATCATTTAAATTTTTTTCTACAATATCATAAAAAAATATTTATTAACTCTATTAATTTATATAATTATATTTTTTAATACTATTTACATAAAAATGAAAAAAGAAAATTTTATATACCAATTACAGTTAATTCATTTATTCTATCAGTCATCTGCTTTTTTTCATCTAAAGTAGATTCCAAAGTACATTGAATATTAAGTTTCTCTAATCTACATGTCTCCAGATTTGTTCTCAATTCTTGCACTTCTCTATGCTCAGTAGTTAATTCATCTTCTAATACATGTACTCTTGCCGTTACATTCTCTAATTTTTCCTATATAAATTAATTTTAATAATAATATATTTAGATATAAAATTTAATTCTTAAAAAAAATTACAAAAATTTATTTACCTGCAATTTACAAACTCTTTTATTATTTTCTTTAACTGTTGAGTTACAATCAGCTTCTACTGCTAATGCAATATAATCTATGTCTTTTAATTCCTTTTCCAATTCCTCATTTCGATCAGCAAGTTTAAGTGCTTGAGACATAGCATCATGTTGTTTGTTTAAAGCTTCTATATAGAACAAACATAATATAAATAATATCAAAAATTTTTCAATTTTATATTAAAAAGAATATACAATTTTATACCTTTTAATTTCTGCTCTAATTCCAATTTTTCTTGTTGAAGTACTTTTAATTCATCATTTACATTATCCGATATTACAAAATTATTTTCTGCTTTTTTATAATCTTTAGAAACAGCTAAATATGGTCTACCTCCTTCTAACATTTTCTTCAATCGTAAAATTTCTTTTTCTTTAATAGTCAACTATAAAAATATTTTTATAATATATTTATATTTGTAAATTTTAAATAAATATTCAAAATTTAATATTTACATATTATTATGTAATATTATTTGTAATTAATAGTAATGAAATATTAACTACTTTTAAATTCAAGAGATTCATGCAATTCATGCAATGTAAGCTCATGCGAATGTAATTAACAATAATATACCTGACTTTTTAATATTTGTATATTGTCATTTTGTAAAGAAAGTTCTCCTTTTAAATTTGTTACCTCATGACTCAAACAATTCATCTTATGATCTGCCATATTTAACAAATCAATAATTTTTGGTTCCACAATGCTTAAATTTGGTAATGGTGTAAATTTAGTTCCTGTTTTTGGTAATGGTTCACTTTCTATAACTGGTCTTCGAAGTGGAAAAACAGAACGTTTCTTAGAAGCTGTGATAATAAAAGATAAAATTATAAAAGTTTTTTAAAAAAATATCTTTAAAAATTGAACTTTAAATATTTAAAGCAATTATTATAATAAAACTAACTTATTATATCAATTATTAATTACATTTAAAATATTTAATATTTTAAATTATAAAAATATTATAAAAGAATAATACCAAATAAAAATTATAATTATAATAAATATAATAATTAAAATAAAATTAATATAATAATAATTACCTAATCCAACATTGCTAATAGATGGTTTTAAACATTTTCCTTGGAGTTCCAAAATTCTTTTTGACTTCTTAGCAGATTCAGTTTCTAATTCCTTAATTCTATGTAAATTGCGAGAAGATGATAGTTGAAGATCATTACATTCACGCTCTAATTTATATATTTCTTTCTTTAGATCTTTAATTTGCTTTTGATGACTTTCTTTTTCTTTTATCAAATCTGAATGAAGCTGGTTACATTCTTGCACTAGCCTTACATTATCACATTTATAAGGATCAATTGTTGATTGTAATTGAATATGTGCCTATATTATAATATATAATAAAAATATTCAATTATATAAATCATATTATATAATTACTTTTTTATGTTAAAATATCTATGCTAAAATTATACTAAAATATCTATTATATTTAAATATTTTCTTATTATATCAATATATTATAATATCATATTCATTGTTTTATATAAAGGGTGTCTTAATAGATTATGATAGTTCCATAATTAAAAACAATTAATTTTATATCAATTATATAAAATCTATATTAAAGTTAACAAAAAATAAATAAATAAATTACATAAATACAAACCTCAATATTTTCTTGAGCAATATTTTTAAAATGTTTTTAAGCTTTCTGTTGTTTGTATCAAATCAGCCAACAATTTTTCAATTAGTGGCAGTGCATCAAATGTAAGTGCTTGTTTATAGCCTAAACTATCTAAATGTTTACGAACAATTCTATATCTTGTAGCTATATTATATTCATCTTCCGTACTCATTTTTATAAACTTTATAAGCAATTTATTTTATGTTATTTCAAAATAAAGAAAATAAAAATTTTAGATCTTATTTTACCATTTCAAAAATAATTATAAATTCACATTTTAAAATATAATTATTTATAATTTCTTAAATATAATTAATAAAATTAAAAGCGTTTTGTTATATATATATTATATATTTTTTATTATATATTAATAATTAATTCTTTTATATAACCAAGACATTAAAACAGCACAATATGTGCTATTGTCAACTTAATAAATTCATTAAAAAAATTTTATCTTTAAAATTAATATAATTTTTTTTTTTTAACACTTGTATTATCTTCTATCGATTGTACAAACAATATTACTCATTATTACACTTTTACAACATACAACATACAACAAAAACGCGTCATGTAGATGCAAATTTTTCAAAAATGTTGCCAACATTACAGAATGTATTCTTTATTTATAAATATATGGATATTTTTGTTTAAAATTAGATAAAAAATTTAATGAAAAATTAAATAAAATAGCAACTTATAATATATTTTTAAAAATTCAAATAAATTACTCATAAAATATACGCTTACTAAGATTTAGATATAAATGAAAAAATTAAATATCAATAAAATATTTTAAGAATCAATTTTAAGAAAAATATAATAATTATATTAAATTATATTATTAAATAATTATATTATATTATATAAATTTAATTTCCATATTTAAAAAAAGATGAAATATTATAAAGATAAAAAAAATAAAAAAAATTTTTAAAAATGGCGTAAGATATAAACCTTACATATATCACATATTATTCATGATTGAAGAAATACATAAGTACGTAAAAAGCAAAGCTCTATAGAGAGAAATTGTAGTAAGTTTTTATAACATGCTTTTCCTGTGATTTGACATCTAATTTAAATTTAAAAAATAATTGAAATAAATGCTTTTCATGAATATTAAAAAAACAATAGACAATTATTAAAGACCATTTTACGTTATTTGCGAAAAATGAAATTTAAAATAAAAAAAATAGATATAATATGATTAAATTGTATGATTTATAAAAGTTGGTCTGGTAAAAAATAAGTAGAATAAATAAAAATGAGTTTAATTAATTTAAACACATCACAAATGGAACAAATTTTTTTTACTTCTAGAAGATATGTGTTATCTTTCCTATCCTCAATCACAACAAAAATTAAATAAATATGTGAGTAATATAGTCATTTATGTATAATTTTTTCGCGGCACAATTCTTTTAAAGATGTTGCTGTTATATTTTATAATTTTTAATGATTGTGTTTTTCTTATATTAAAATAAATATTAAAATAAAATAATTATTTGTAATATATATTTATTAATTATTTATAATAAAAAAAATATTTATATATTACGTTTAAAATTAAATATCATTTTAATTGTAAATTTTTAATATTATAGATACAAACTGCAACAAATACAAAATTGTGTTTTCTTATACCAATTTTAGCAAAATCAGAAGAAATGATAATTCATGTAATAGGAGAAAAAATTTTAGATAGAGAATTAAGATTTTCTGTAAGTGAAAATTATTTATCTTATAATAATATAATATAAATTATAATAATAAGATTGTTTATTTTTCGAATATAATTTTTTATACAATTATAAAAAATAAATAAATAAAATCATCAATCTTTCATTAACTTTAAAAATTTGTTTATCTCATTATTATTTAATATTTTTATAATATTTGATGAGATTCGCAATAAATTTTATATCTTGGAAAATTAAGTTTTTGTAATAAATGATGCTTTCAAGAGTTGTCCTATATTACAAATAATGATTGCTTAGTAGTGTTCAAATAGAATTCTTAGGAATGTATATAAAAGAAACTATAAAAAAAAGTATTATTGATATAACATAAAACTTTTCAATTTAGTTATAGAAATATAATTATTAATAGTAACATAGTTTATCTTCAATAAATATATATATTACATATTCATTTATAAAGCTTATTTTATGTTTGTCACTTTTTTTTCTGCAAAGCAAATTATAAAATTTTTTAAACAAAATAATATAATTAATTTATTATGAACTTAAAATTTTAATTTATATATTATTTATTGTTTATATATATAAAAATTATAAATATTATGTTTATAAATAAGCTAAAAAATTTAAATAATACATATTTTATTCAAAATCCTAATATTAAAATATTAAATAATTTTAATATTAATAATATATTTTATTATATATATATAATTTTATATAATTCTTTTTTTAGATATCAAATAATATTTTATATAAAACTATACAAAATAAAAAAAAGCCAATTGCTATAGATATGACAATACTTGATGAAGAATTATTATATCATCTTCAACCAATATGTTCAATATCAAGTTCATTTCTAACTATTCCTATAATACATCCTAAACAGAATTATATAGCTTTATTAGTTTGTTTGATTGATAATGATTCCAAAAATGAAATTACATGTAAATGTGCAATAGTACAAGACTGTTTTAGGTAATATTTTTTTTTATTACATTGAAAATTAATTAATTAAATTTTAGAATAGTAGCAATTTTATGACATATTAAAATTATATTCATTGAAGAAATATTTTTCTTTAGATATATTTGGATATTTTTTCTTTAATATAGATTTTGCTTAGGATTTCTTCTAAATTCACTCACATGTTATGAGGAAACTCGATTGAAACTACAATGTCAAAAGTTACTTGCTGTTTCTAGAAAACTTTATATATATTTAGGTAATATTATTGTTATTAAAAAATATACAAAAATTTATATATTTATCATTTTTTATATATTAATAATTAGGCGAGATTTCTGATTTATTGCGAGAAATAATGATAGAAGCTAAAAATCTAACAAATGCAGAACGCTGTTCATTATTTTTATTAGATCCTGAACAACAAGATCTAGTTGCTAAAGTGTTTGATGGTATTGCTATAGATAAAGTAAGTTTAAACTTTTAAAAAACTTAAAAACTTAAATATATATTTCATATATAAAATATATGATGTAATTATTTCTAGTCTCTGGAAGAAATGAGAATACCAATAGGACAAAGTATAGCAGGTCATGTTGCAACTAGTGGAAAAGTGCTTAATATTAAAAATGCATATGAACATCCTCTTTTTTATCCTGGTATAGATCAAATAACAGGATTTAGAACAAGAAATATTTTATGTTTTCCAATTAGAGATGAAGAAAAAATTGTAGGTAAGAAAAAATTATTGTTGTATATCACAAAAAGAAAAAAATTAAATTTTTTAATAACATTATTTTTATATTTTTAAAATGTAAAAAAATTGTTTATTATAATATGAATTATAATTATAGGTGTTGCACAACTTTGTAACAAAAAAAATGGATTATACTTTGATGTTTTTGATGAAGAAGTTGCAACAGCATTTAGTATTTATTGTGGTATTTCTCTAATGCATAGTATTGTTTATAAAAAAATGCAAATTGCTCAAGCAAGAAGTAAGCTTAGTAATGAAGTGATGATGTATCATATGAAGGTAAAATTTTCTTAAGACATAAATATTTTTTATTGATTTTTATTTTCAAAAAAATATTATATATGTAGGTAGATGAAGAAAGTATTCAAGTAATTTTGAACTGTAAGGACAAACATGATATAAAAGACTTTAATAAATTTGAATTTTGTCCTAGAAATGTACCTTATAATAGTATACCTTGTTATATAATTAAAATGTTTGATGACTTAGGTCTTATTAAATATTGGAAATTGAAATTGCCAACTTTAATTAGGTAATTCATAAAATTTTCGATATAAAATTAATATAATGAAAGTAAAATATTGATTAAAATATTTATTATAGATTTATATTGTATGTAAAAAAAGGATATAGAGATGCACCATATCATAATTGGATACATGCATTTTCTGTGACACATTTTGCATATTTATTAATAGAAAATTTAAATCTTATTAATGATAATTATTTAACACATTTAGAAGCTTTAACTTTTCTAGTGTCTTGCTTATGTCATGATATAGATCATAGAGGAACAAATAATATGTTTCAAACGATAGGCTCTACAGTTTTAGCTAGTCTATACAGTTCTGAAGGTTCCGTAATGGAGGTAAATTAACAATAACATTATTGTAATAAGAGTCATATATTAACACAATAATTTGTTATTTTTTTAACATTTAACAGAGACATCATTTTGCACAAACTATGTGTATTTTAAATACAGAAGGTTGTAATATATTTGAAAATTTTAATAGTAAAGAATATAGTGAAGTATTAAATATGTTGAAGAATAATATACTTGCAACAGATTTAGCATCTCATTTTCGAAAAGTAAAGAAACAGGAAATGATGATTAAAGATAAATTTGATAAAAATAATCTTACACATAAAAAGTTATTGATCGATATGTTCATGACATGTTGTGATCTTAGTGATCAAACTAAATATTGGGAAATTACTAAAAAAAATTGCAGTAAGTCAAATTCTACATTTGGATATATTTCTATAAAAAAGTAATTCATTTAAGAATTTATGTACTTTTTTCTTTTTGTATTAGGAAAAAATTTATGAGGAATTTTTTTCACAAGGAGATTTGGAAAAAAGTATGGGTACTTCTCCTATAGAAATGATGGATAGAGAACGAGCATCTATACCAGATCTTCAAGTTCATTTCATTACAAATGTAGTTCTTCCACTTTTTATGTAAGCATTTTTAATATAACATTTTTGATTAAAATCAAATTTAAAATTATTTATTATATATTATTATATTGATTATTCATTTTATTTAATCAAATTATTTTATTTCTTCTTATTTATTTTATTATTATTATTATTTTAGTAATCTTTCTACATTATTTCCAATGATACAACCACTTACTGATGTGCTAAAAGAAAATCGAGATTTATGGGAAGAATCTAAAAACGTATTTAAAAAATACATGGAAAAAGGAATGGAAGGTATAACTATCCTATTGAATCCTACTTTTGAGAAAGAAGTAGTAGAACTTTATGCTCAACGCAAAAAAGATTTCAGTTTTAATGATTCAACATTAAAATAATATACAACAATGTAAAGGTGTATATTTATTATGAATGCAAAAAATTTTAACATATATAAATCATGACATTTTAAATTTACAAGCAAAAAAATAAGTCTATTAATTATTAAACATATAAATTAATTAAAGAAAATTTTTCTTTATTATAAGAGCGCTGGCGTTCTAAAAATATGTATTAGAAATTTAATAATGTAATCTAAAATATTATTTTAGATTAAGGTATGTAAATATGTAAAATATATAAATATATATATATAAATATTTTTTATTTTATCTTTTGAAAATATATTTTTTAAATAAGTATTTATTATATATTTACATTTAATATGTTTGATATATTATATTATTATTTAATATTATTAAATTATTTAATATTTAATATTTTTATTTATAAAGATAATATATTTATAAGAATAGAGTTTGATTTTAAAAATATAGAATTGAATTAAAATATATTTTTAGAAGTTATAAAATATTTTTAACAAAATTTTTATTTATAAAAATAAATAATATATAAAATATTATAATTCAAAAGAATAAAACAATACAATATAATGAATAATAATTTATATTATGTATTTAAATAAATTTATCATTATTATACAAATTTGAGCAAAAAAACTTTCATAAGTCCTTTACATAATCCATTTATAAAAAAATTAATATCAAAAAATGCATTCATAAAATTAATTTTTTAATATTCTAAAAAATAACAAGATATTCCAGGTGATAAAATGAAAGATTCATTCCATATACATTTATTTCTAAAATTTTTTAGAATTAAAAAAATTATAAAAAAATATTCAGTTCGCAAAAATAGCAACACATATACACACATATTATAGTTAGAATATAATATTAAGAAATGATAAATATCTTTAAAAAATTAAAAAAATTATAAAAAAATTCAATAAGCAAAAAAATAATTTAAACTAAATGAAAAAATGACAAATCATTCTATTTCTGTATCTATGTCTATGGTTTATCAAAATACAGATATGTTACAAAAATCTTCAAGTACCAACTATAATGTTCAACCAATCAAATAAGAATCGGATATTATTTAAATTCAAGAGGAAAATGGCGCGCCCGCGAGAATAGATGGCGTTAAATGCAGTGATTCAAATTAAACTGAAAATTCGTTATGTATTTGAGGGATAAAACTTGCACGATCCCGCCTATGACACGAAATGGAGATTGTCGTTAAGGATTTCCGTTCTTTTATATATTTTGTCATTGAAAGACACTAATTTGTGTAATTTATTTATTCTTGTTGTGAAAATTATATTTATAATTTTTCAGTTTTTATACAAATGTAAAAGGTAAGCAAATATATTAATAAATATATCTCAATCCCCTTAATTTATTTCTTTTAAAATATGTTTCTATGTATTTTTATAATACTTTGATATTTGTTTAATATAATGATAAATTTATTAATATTAATTATATTGTAAATTCAACTAAAATCGATAAAAAATAATTATTATAATTATACATATATGTAATTGAATTAAATTTATTTTGTATTATTTAACTATTTTATGATTTATCATTTTTATTATTTAATATCATGTTATTATTTACTATTTATAAATATTTTTTATAAAAAATTATATGTATATATGTGTGTATTTAAATAAAATTGTGTTAATAAAAACAACTAATAATTTTAATATTATATTAATTTTTATTATATTACAACTTTATTCATAATTCATGTACTAATTGTATATTATTATATATAATATTACATATATTTTATATATAATATTTTATTTTTTACATATATATTTTTACTTAAAAATGTAATAATATTTTAATTTATATCTAAAGTATTTAAATGGTTATTTTACAGATTTTAAATATGGGTACCAGATCAAAAAATAGAATTAAAGAAATGATTACCAAGGATCTTATGAATATCCATAATACTTGTCAAGAAGTTAAAAAGTCTATTAATGATAATTTACAAGATACTTTGAATTATTTACATAGTTTAATTGCTCAAATACCACAATCAGCTTCTGGACCTTTAATTACAAAAACACCAAGTGTTTTAAGGAAAAGAGGCATTCAATGTATTGAAACCATTCCAGAAAATGATATTATTAATATTGATAATACATTATCAAATATTAGTGTAATAAGTGAAAAAGCAGAAAATAAAAATATAAAAAATGAGAATATAGAAGAAACTATTGGTCGGAAAAGAAGAGAAGCCTCAATGAAAGCTGCAAATAATATTAAAATGCAGCAATCAATGTCACTTCATACAAAATTACGAAGACCATCAAATTTTGAAGGAGATGTTGTTTTAAATGTTGGTATTATAGCTTTTTATATATATTGTAATGTTTAATTATATATTATATAATACTAATTTTTATTCTTAATATTAGATAATCTTATTAAATTAGATAATAAAATTAGAAATCTATAATATTAGTCAATCAATATATTAAATTCAATTTCTTAATAAATATAAATTCTTTAAAAAATATTAAATATTTTTAAATTTTTAGAAGAAACGTGAAAGTGCATCTAAAAGAAAAAAATCTGCTAGAAGTAGCTCAGATGAGGATACCTCACAAGGCCCTACAAAACATAGTAAAACAGAAGAGAAAATTTTAAATGAAACTCTTGTAAAGAAAATTACAGATATAAATTCACAAAACCATTCTCCTATACATACAATAGAACAAGAAAAAAGTGAATTATCTTCTCCAATAAAAACGAGAAGTTCAAGTAGAAAAAGAACTTTTTCACAAAGTGAAAATATGAAAAATAAAAAATCTAATAATATCGATGATACAGTCATTGCACCAATAACAAATGATATTGATGAACCTTCAATGTATGAGGATGCAATTGGAAAGCCTACTCCTATTATGAATTCTACAATGAATTTCAATTCTACTTTTGTTACACAGAAAATTATGAATGCTACCGTAGTTTTGGAACCTTTATCAACAGTAAAACTAAATGAGACTGTGACAATTAAAAAAATTTCAGATAATAATATAAGAAATAGTAATGAACAGAAAGCAGTTGAAATGAAGACAGAATTCAGAACTTTTAAAGTACCATCTTCTCCATCACCTTCTTCAATGGCTCTGCAATATAGAATGCAACAATTAAAACAAGCCATGGTCAATAAAGAATTTGATGAATTACTCACAGAGGATGAATCATCCCCTGAAGTAAAAAAACCTAAAGCAAATATTAAAAAACAAGAAATTAGAAAACGACAAAAACGTTTAAATAATTCTACAACATCAAGTGATGATGGAATACCTAATACTCCAGCAAAACCAACTTTGAAGGAAATTAATACAATTATTAATACAGGATTCCAGGAAATGAGAAATACATATAAATCAAATGCTTTATTTAGCCCATATGCTAAGGAATCTGTAAAAAAGAGAGTTGAGGCATTTGAGCAAGTAGGCATGAATAGTCCAAAACCTGCTGTTGATATTGATGTACCCACTAGAATAACTAGAACAAAAACACGTGCTAGAGCTGCTGCACAAGCAGAAGCTTTAGAAAATATGAATATTGCAGAGAAAGCAGTTGCTCATAAATTGGCACGAAAATCACTTGCAAAAGCCAAGAAAATTTCATTAGCAAAGCAGAATAAGGATGTTGATGAACATAAAGAGGTACTTAAAGTAAAAAGTAAAAAAATATAAGAAAAACTATTAGACTATTATTATGTACAATATATGTAATAATCTCAAAAAATTTAAAATTATTTAAAAATATGAATTATTTTGTTAATTCTGAATTTATTTATATTTTTATTTTTATTTTTAGAATAAACTACAATCGGCACAAAAAATTAAAATAATCTCAATGGAGAAAATAAACTACAAACAACAACAGAAGACCACTCCATTAACTAAAACAAAAACTCAACTACCATTGTCTGTTAATCGCATTCCTCATACTCCATCAAATCAAATTAATACAAATGTAAGAATTTATTGATTTTTATATTATATTATTAATACTATTTTTTGAAAAGTAATATTTTAATTTTAGAATAATAAGCCTTTAAGTGCAGTGCGTTCAAATATTATTACATCGGTGGAATCTTTAATTCAAGCTCCAAAATCAGTCAGTAAACGTAATTCATTAGATAAAATAGATGAAAAGAAGCGAAAATTAAACGAAGAGGATGCAAGAAAAAAACGAGAAGAAGCATTGAGACTTCAAACAGAAGAAAAAAGAAGGTAAAATATATTCATTTTTAAACTAATACATATTACTGAAAAATATATGAAATATATTTAAAGGAAAAGACAAGAAAAAGAATTAAGAAATAAATTAGCAAGAGAAGCAAAAGAAAAACAAGATATGGAAAAACGTCAAAAAGCTGAAAAAGAAAGAGAAGAAAAAGCACGTTTAGCGCAACAATTGCAAGAGAAACAACGAGAAGAAATGGAAAAGAAACGTTTGGCTCAATTACAACGAGCTCAGGTATAAAATTAATAATTTACAAAATAAATATGAATAAAAAGTAAATAAAAATACTAATTTTTATATATTTAGAAAATTAAATTATAATTGTATTAATTTTCAGGAAAAAGAAGAAAGAAGGAAACAAGAAGAACAACTTCGTTTGCAACGTTTACAAGAACAAGAAGAAGCAGAACGTATATTAGCTGAGCAAAGACGCCGAGAACAGGAAGCTGAAAGACGAAAGGAAGCTGAATTGAGAACTCAACAACAAGCTGCAATTGAAGCAATGAAAGCTAAAAATCAAATGCTTGCACAAGTAAAATTATTAAATTAATAAAATGTTTTTTTGTTATTTTATTGTTTTTACAAAAATATAATTTATTCTTAATTTAATATTTTAGACAAAATATGGATCTAAATATAATGGGCCAACAACTTACATTTTGGATAGTGAACCTGACGATGATGATTCGGATGATGAAACTAAACCAAAGCACATAATTCCATACTGGGCGCAATGTAAGTATATATTGTTCAAAAAAAAGTAAAAATTTTGATCATTTTACATATTTATTAATAAAAGTTTCAATAATTGTTATTATATTTTTATGATATTTTTTATAAATAATATATATTTTATAAATAATGATATTTTTTATAAATTTTTTATAAATAACTATGAATTTTTAAAATAATCTAGCTTAGATTTTGCATGAATATATTATTTTTATAATTATCAAACAAGATAAATAAATATATGAATTTTTTATACATTTGAATTCTCATTACTTTTAGCGCAAGTACGTAAAACTCAACTTGCAATACAACGATATATTCCGGAAAGAGCAGTTTTTAAATTCTTTGATACCAGAAAGTGCACACCAGATTTGACTCAACTATTTCATGGTATAGATAGAAATAAATTAAAACGTACATCCAGTGCAATCTGGAAGACACCTCCACGTTATTCTATGATGGAAACTGAATGAAAGGTATAATTTATTAAGTCAAATATTATTAATTTCAATTTGTGTCTTAGTACAGGAGTACTTGTTATATTTTGTATATGTAATATAGAAAAAATATTACATCGTAACTATCATTGAAAAATAATATATATTTTCTTGATATATCAATGAATGTAATATCATTCCATTTGTTAATTTTTAAGCTAATCAATGAATGTTATTTCTACTATATTGATCAAATTTTATTATTCTTTTTTATCTATATGTATCATTTTTATTATATTAAGATTGGCAGAAAAGGAAAGTATCATACAGTTAATCAATAATTAATAAATAATTATATTCATATAACTTTTTAACAAAAAGAAGATTTTATTCATTTATTTGATCGGAGTTTATTATATTTATAACCACTGAATCTTTTTTTTTTTTTTTTTTTGTTAATAAAAATTTTATTAAAGTGAAACATTAATGCAATATTACCTTTTATTTTGATGACATTTCAAAATATTTTCTTTTTTACATGTAGTAATTTTACAACAGCAATTACGTTTATTTACTAAAAAAAAAAAAGTATTACATGTATTAAATTTATATATATATATATATATAATATATAATAATTTATATAGATTATTATTAATAATAATTAAAATAAAAATGAATTCAACAAATAATTAATTAAATAGCTTACATTAATGGTTTTTGTAGTAATGCTGGTATTTTTGGTGGTCGAATGATTTCCAAAGGTCTTAATCTTAAATGTGTATATATAGGTATCTGTAACATTATTTTTATTACAAATTGCATATAATGTTTAATATTTTTAATGTAATATTATTTTTGTAATAGACAAAATTATATTAAATATAAAAATATTTACATATGGTAGAGAAGTATCTAAAATTGGATAATCTATAAGCAACATTAATGTTGCTTTATCCATCATGCTAATAGTAAGTCTTTGTCCATTAATCATAATATAATCTGTTTTAAAAGCTGTTGTTGATACATCAGAATCAGTTGTTACTTGGCTAATACCTCCTTCAAGAACCTTTTTATATTTACATAATAGTAAGTTAATAAATATTCTTTTTATTAATAGTGATTGTAAAAAACATTAATTACTTTTAATGTAGTAGAACTAGCAACTTTTTTAATATCTGGTGGTAATCTGTAATCTTTAAAATACTGATAAGTTGGAATCATTGGTAAAATCGGTGACCAAGGTTTAAATGTTCCAAAAGTTGAAATATAGCGTCCGCCAAATGTCCACAAACGTACAGAATGATCTGTACTAGCGCTTAGCAAAGATTAACAAGATTAACAAAAAGATTAGCTTAAATTTTACATTGTTTTTTATATATTAATAAATAATAAAAATTATTTTGAATATTTAACAATTTTCTTGGAAAAATTTTTTTTATATGAATAATTATATTATAATATTATAATATAAATGTATATAAAAATAATTTTAAAATTCATAAAATAAATATTATATTAACATTTATATTGATTTCCGAGTACAACATTCGGAATCAAGAAGTTAATATCAATAAATCATGAGGAAAGTTACTTCTATCTCAAACGAAATATTTATGAATATACTTGAACAAAGGTATAATTAAAAAAAAAGCTTTTTTGAAAATAAGTGAAACAGAACATTAATTATATTAGTGAAAATCAGAATATATTACACTAGCTCAATACAAAAAATATTATATTAATTCAAAAACTTATTTTTACCTAATAATAATGCGTGCATCTGGAATTATTTGTACAGATGTAATAGATTTTAAATGACCACGTACAGATGAAAGTAAAAGTGGCAAAGGTTGATCTCTTACAGCTCTTTTTGCTCTGCCCAAAAGTCTATCTTTCCATAAAAATGGAAATTCTAACCGTAAATGAATCATATTTATCTTGGGAGGATCTGATACCAAATAATTTGCAAGATACCAAACTTTAATGTATCCAGCACAATGTCCTAAATTATAAAAATGAATTATTTTCCAATTGATTTCTACTTTGTTTTTTTTTTTATATTAATAGATTTTATATTAATTAAATATTGCATTATATAACATGTATATTTGTATAATAAATATACAAATATAACAATAAACAAATATACAAATATAACAATTAATTAGAATAATAAAAATATGAAAAATTTTTTTTTTACCTGTTACAAGAAAATGATTTTCAGGATCAGTTGCTAACGCTAATGCACAATCACGTACAGTATGAATAACTGAAAAAGCTTCTAAAAATCCTCCAGCCGGATGATGAGTCCATACTTGTATTAAACCGGAATCAAGAGAAACCAATAATGTTCCAACATCAGGTTTAACTGATCGAGCATTTAAAAATATCATAGATCGAACAGCAACAATTCGTGTAATATTCAACGCAGATTCTTGATGTTTAGAAACTGTTTCATATTGACTATTAACAAATGATTATAATTGTGATTCAAATTTTTTTATAAAAATATAATAATGGTATATAGAATACCTTTGTAACGAAATGAATTCTTTTGTAATTTCTTCAGATTTATTTTTTCATTTGTTTTATCATTTTGTAGATATTTTATTCTAAATCTATGTAACATTAATTAATTCAAATTTATTTTTTATAATATATTGTTTTTAAAAATTTGTTAAATTTATTATTTATATCTTCATTTCATTTTAATTTTTTCAATCTTTCAGATCTTACCGAGCCATTGGTTCGTTAACTTTATATTTCCGATACGGTTGGCCTGTTTCTAATCTCCAAAGAATTATCTCTCCATTAAAAGTTGCTGTAGCCAATACCTGAGGATACCACATAGCTGAACAAAGAATATCATCTGTATGAATTAGTCCCCAATTTTTTTTATAAATATATGCGTCGGAAATTGCGAATTCTACAACTTGACGGTTCCAGCTACTGCACAAAATTCGATTTTCCAACCAAACTAAACTTGTTACTTCACTATACAAAATAATGAAACATATAAGAAATATATTTTGATATTGTATAACTTAGTAATAAATAACAAAAGTGGCTAGAGCAACTCTTAATAGAAAAAAATAACATAATGTAATAAAAATATACCATTGAGTTTCAAGTTCCATATTTCGTAAACAAGTACCAGTATTAAAATGCCATATTTTTAATGTTCCATCTCGAGCACCTGTCACTAGTAATTGTTCAGATTCATCAAAACATGCAGCAGTAATTTCAATGTCATGAAACTGGCCATACAAAAACCTGCTATGTGCATGTGTTACTAAAAATAAGCGATTTCCAAGCCATGGATCCCAAATTATTATACAAGAATCTAATCCAGTTGAAACTATCTAAGTTTTTGTATAAATGATTAAATAAATAATGTAATTTCTGAGATTAATTACTAACTAATACAAAGAATATGAATTACCACTTTGTAGAGGTGATTATATAAAACACAGGAGACAGATTTTGTATGTGTAAAGCCATCAGATACTTCTTCATCAACTTTCGGATCACAAACGATTATTGCAATTATTGCACCAGCAACGATCATTTTGCGATTTAATGTATTATACACTATAGTCATTGTTGTATGTTCTCCTAATTCACTAGGAAGACCATTGTATGTCTATGTAAAATAATTAAAATATTATTATTTAATTTATATTAATTAAATAATATTATTCAATTAATATTATTCTATTTTTGTAAATAAAATATTAATTAACAGAAATATATCTTTGATGAAAATATTTTGTAAAATGTTCATATAGAATATTTTTTTTAAAAATATTTGTACTTCCTGAATTGTAAGTAATAATTTCTATCAAAATAGTTAATGAACATAGAATTTTTATTGGACAAATCAATTAAATGTTTTTTATTCTTTTAATCAAATTATGAACTAAATACTTTTTTTTAAATATAAAACATGTTAATTGCCAAATAAAAATTATATTTGCATAAAAATAAATATTAATCATATTTCTTCTAAATAAGTAGAAAAAATTAATTATTACAAATATTTTAATAATTGTAATATATTATTTATTACTATTATTATTATTATTATTATTATTATTATTAAAACCTGAATACAAGATTGAGCTAATATATCCCACACTTTGATACATCTATCTTTTGATAGAGAATACACGCGTTTACCAGCATCTTGAAAAACTAAAGCGCAAATACCTGCGCGATGACCTTGAAATATAGAATTTGGTCTTCTTGTTACATAAGGATTCCAAATTCGAACTATGCAGTCTGGTCCACCAGTTACTAATAACTGAACTTCTGAATAGATAAATGTTTAAAAATATATAAAAACGAATAAAAACTTTTTTTTATAGCTAAATATACCTTCGCAAAAAGTGAAGCAAGATATACCCATGTTAACTTTAAATCTGTATTGAGTTCTAGCCTTTGTAAGATCGCTTATTAACAAAGAACAGCTACTACATCTACTACTAGATATAAAAGATCTTAAAGTTCCATAATAGGCTACTTGTTTCACCCAATTTGTATGAACATTTTTAAATTCTAAAACTCTGGCTCCTTTCAATTCGCCCTATAATATAGATTTTAACTTATATAGAATCTAAATCATGTTTAATGAAAAAATTAATAAATTTTCTTCAAATTTCTTTCATAAATTTTTAGAAAAGTATATGTGTGTGTGTGTGTGTGTGTGTGTGTGTGTGTGTGTGTGTGTGTGTGTGTGTGTGTGTGTGTGTGTGTGTGTGTGTGTGTGTGTGTGTGTGTGTGTGTG